TTGATTGCGATATTGACACTGATTGTGTTTAATATGGTTTCAGATTTTCGAGGGTTATGGACAGACGGAGTGCACTGCTGGATGTACCTTTTCTATGCCTGGTGACTGGAGTGCAGGTTTGTGTTCATGTATCTTTATAAGCCTGCTTTAGTCATAAATGGCGTACTATTTACAAGTTTTGAAAAAAGTAGTACATAAGGATACCCATATGACTTGCTACATTATCCAAAATGTGCAGTGTTTGACATGCTTGTTTCCAGTGTGAACAGATAATAAGCCAAATAATATTAATGTTCACCTGCGAATTCAGCAGTTGTTCTGAGGAGTCATGTTAGCGGTGTGTCTGATGTGTTTCAGGTCATGTCGGAGCTCCTTTACCCTGTGCTATGGTGAAGTTAACTGACATCCCTGACATGAACTACTACGCCAAGAATGGAGAAGGGGAGGTCAGTATCCAGATCACTGTGGAAAATTAACCCACCAACCAAACATGGATACATTTTCTGCAATTAGGGGGAATTTTGGGCCTTATCTACCAGCAATTGTGGAAAGTGACCTGTAACACTGCGTGAGGAACACTTTTGTCAGATCGATGAGCTGAAATGAATGGACTTCCCTATGTCATTTAACACTTTGATTGTGTGTTATACGTGTCAGATCTGTATCCGGGGTCACAGCGTCTTCCGAGGGTATCTGAAGGATGAGGAGAGGACGGGAGAGGCGCTGGACGCTGATGGCTGGCTTCACACTGGAGACGTGGGACAGTGGCTGCCGGTGAGACCCTACAGCTGCTTCACATCACTTTAAGTCATTATGGGCTGTTTGAATGCAGCATATATTTCTCCTTTAAAGGGTTAATTCACCCAAAAATGGAAATTCTGTTCCCTCAAGTTGTTCCAATCTATGAGATTCTTTCTTCTGTTGAGCACAAAAGAAGATATTTGGAAGAACATGTTGCTGGTAGTCATAGACTTCCATAGTATGGGGGAAAAAAAATCTTATGGAAGTCAATGGGTACCAGCAACTGTTTGGTTACACACATTCTTCAAAATATCATCTTTTGTGTTCAGCGGAAGAAAGAAACTCATACAGGTTTGGAACGAATTGAGGGTGAGTAAATGATGACAGATTTTACAATTTTTTGGGTGATCTATCCCTTTAAGACTTTCTGAATGAGACCTTGTTTGAACGTTTGCTGTCTCTCTGGTCTTTCAGAACGGGACTTTGCGCATTGTGGACAGGAAGAAGCACATCTTTAAGCTGTCCCAGGGCGAGTACATCGCTCCTGAGAAGATCGAGAACGTCTACACTCGCTGTGTTCCTGTTCTCCAGGTCTTTGTGCATGGAGATAGTCTACAAGTAAGTGTAGACACTTTAGTACAACAGTTTTGGGCATCAAGCTTAAACGGTAGGCCTATCCTTCTGTTTTCAGTGCAGTGACACTCACAGCAGTCTTGTGTTTCTTTGTGTGTTTAGTCTTATCTGATAGGAGTTGTAGTTCCAGACCCGGAGGTGTTTGTCGACTGGGCCAAAGAAAGAGGGATCGTTGGATCATATGAAGAGCTTTGTCAAAATCCTGTGAGCTTTAATGCCATACACAATACACACATTTATCTCCCTTCTGGTGACCAAACTACATGAAACATGCTTATATCACTTGTGCACACACGGTAATTTCTCAAGATATCAATAGTTTTAAAGGAATAGTTCACCTGAAAATTACAAATTTGCTGAAAATGTACTAAAGCAATCCAAGATGTCAAAAAGTTTGTTTCTTCATCAGAACAGATTTGGAGAAATGTAGGATTTCATCACTTGCTCACCAGTTGATCCTCTGCAGTGAATGGGTGCCGTCAGAATGAGTCCAAACAGCTGATAAAAACATCACAATAATCCAAACCACTCCAGTCCATCAGTTAATGTCTTGTGAAGGGAAAAACTGCATGTTTATTAGAAAAAAAAAATCCATCAGTAAAGATGTTTTTAACTTCAAACCGTTGCTTCCGGCTAAAATACAAGTTCATAATCCGTAATATTGCTTTCTTTAGTGGAAAAAGTCGTCTTGTACGAATCAGGAGAGAAATATGCACAGATCAAGCACCGATTTTAAGTGAAAACAATCCAAAACAGTTCTAACCAAATATGTTGGTGGATTTTGATCTGATGTGGACTTTTTTTTTTTTTACTAGAGGAAGCGTTATTATGGACTCATATTTTGGCCAGAAGCGACTGTTTAGAGTTAAAACACCCTGATGGATTTGTTTCTTTCAAACACACAGCTTTTCACTTCTTCAGACTGGAGTGGTGTGGATTACTAGTGTATTATTGTGATGTTTTTATCAGCTGCTTGGACTCTCATTCTGACGGCACCCATTCGCTGCAGAGCATCCATTGGTGAGCAAGTGATGTAATGCTACATTTCACTAAATCTTTCCTGATGAGGTTGAGTAAATTCTCAGCAGATTTTCATTCTTGGGTGAACTGTTCCTTCAAACTGAATGACATTTCTGTCCGTCCCGTTTGACCGGCAGGATGTGAAGAAAGCCGTGCTGGAGGACATGACGGCAGTGGGGAAGGAGGCAGGACTGAAGTCATTTGAGCAGGTAGAGGAACATTCTGGGTCGTTTACAGCATAATTGATGGCATGTGTCAATTATCACATACAGTATGATAAATGATTCATCATTCATTGTTTTTAAAGATGTACAGTATGGAAATACATTTACAAATGAAGTCTAGCAGGCCAGTGTTCATCAGGATTGGGCAGGTTGTGTTGTTGTTAAAGCACTTGCATAAAATATTAAAATATACGTTACTGCTGTTGTGAAGTCGAGGTTGGACTTTTTTGTTATGCATTGCCAGTGTAATTCCTGTGGGTGGAGCTGGTTCCATGTTAACCAGGGGTCTTCAACAGGGGGTCTCCCAGTCATTGCTTGAGTTCAGAGTCATTTTTTTGAAAAGAGAAAAAACGACAAAAAAAAAAACGGCAGATGTTCTCTCTTTGTTTTGGATTTTATTCCGGTGGTTCCTAGGCAAATTTCCAAGGGGGGCAAAAGATTATTTAAAATCAGACAAAATATTAACATTTGCTCAAATAACTTACAATCTGTATGTTTCTTATTTTAATTCAGACCCTTAACAGCCGTTTGTTCTTTTGAAGAACAGTCTTGGAAAACATGAGTATATGAAGTAGCCTCATTTTGAAAATGTTGTTTGTAGACCTTGAAAAGTCATGTAAATGTTAAAAATGGTGATTTTTTTTCTAGCAATGCCAAGCTCTAAAATATTTTGAGTAGAAATTGAATCAAAATATTTGAAAAATCCTTACTTTTGAAGGGTTCACCAAAAAAAAAAGAGCTAATTTTCATAATTTACTCACCCGCATGTCATTCCAAACCTGCAAGTAGGGCTGCCACTAATGATTATTTTGGTAATCGAGTAATCTGTCGATTATTCTGACGATTAATCGAGTAATCGGATAATTATAATGAATGTTTTTGTGGTAATAAAAATAAACCTTTTAAAATGACTTAAATACATATATAATAGCAATGTGGCAATGATAATTAGTTCAAATAAAGTATCACAAGCAAGTAATCATTTGATTTTATTGAACAAAACTATTAAAATATATGCTCCACACATGTAAATGATAACAGTTCGCGTGGAGCAGCATTTTTTTTACTGGGAACGGAGCCGTTTTGACGCACACGCATGCAACCTGCACACATGTAAATAATTAATAAATATATGTGATGCAGGTTTAATATATGTGCTTTATGATTTTTGAGGATATATGAGGACATCAACTGTGTTAAAAGGAAGCTCAACCCTACTTGCTTGACACAAGGACAAATTAGGTTTGAACCTCAGTTGTTCTTCATACATGAAACAAGTATTTTTAAGCAGAATGCTTAATTTTGGGTGAACTATCGCTTAATACTTATCCAATAAATAATAGATCATGGCTATGAATGAATGAACGATTAAACAACTATTACGGAAAAGTCATGGAGCCTTGTTGTGGACACTTGAAGGCCTTGGAGTCAAATGTTTCAAAAGCTTCAGTTTCAGCCGTTTTCTCTCTCTTTCTCAGGTGAAGGACTTCTATTTGCACCCTGAAATGTTTAGCGTGTCAAACGGCCTCCTCACGCCGACCCTGAAGAGCAAGCGTGTGGATCTCCGGCGAGTCTTCAGCGAGCAGATCGCACAGCTGTACAGTAAATCATCCATATAGACCTCACACGCTCTCCACAACACATTTACAAAGCCACTTTCTCGAAAACATTTGAACTAACTTAAGACTTGCTAAACAAGCCAGATGCTACTGACAGGAAACTGTTCTCCATAATTTATGATAAATCGTCTTCACATCTTTGCTTCTCATGTAGCGATCTAGATTGTGTTTTAGGTCATTATAGACAGCTTTGATGGTTTGAACTGAGGTCATATAGGCCTGACGCAGACACTCCATCCTAATACATAGTTCAGGAGCATTTAGTAGCATTTTCCAAGATTTGGGAACTGATGAACTTATTTTAATGAATAGTCTTTCGATCAGTGTCGTCGATATTTTACAGTTTTGTAAGTTGCACCTCTAAAGCACAATCTGTATGAATTGTTTCATTTGTTGTGTTGACATGAAATGACTGTTCAGCAGTCTGTAAATGAGTGTTTTCAACTGTAAATGTTTGACTAATTGCAGCTGATAAGAGATGTACTGTATTTTACTGACATACCTTATTACAGTTTTTCCGTTTCACACCAATCACAGCTCTGACAAAATCAGCTGTTGTTGAAGCGCAGATCTGATTGGTTCATGTGGATGTCACTTTGGTGAAAAGGCATGTCGATGTGTTGCTTACAAGAATACTTTACTGGTTCATTCCCAAGTAAATCACAGTCCTGCCCAGACTGCAATACGTGTACGTCATTTTGGATGAAGGCGGCAAGATAAATGAGTTAATTTCAAATAAAATCAGGAATTTTCAGACATTGAATATCCACAACCAATTTACTGTAAGAATGTTTGACAAGTAAACACAACAGCAAACAATTTGTTTAAAGGAAAACAATTTTACAGACGAAAAAATACACACATTTTTGGGAAGCGGAAGGCTGTGGTCCAGAGAAAATGTTTTAGATTATTTCAGAAGTCAAACATTCATTTTTTTTAAAAGCAAAGCAGTGTATAAGTTGCTTGGTAGATGCTTTATCCAAAGGGACAAAGGCACTGAATTCGTTTACACTAGACTATAGTGAGCAACATACTCACCTACTGTGAAGGCACATTTTAAATAATGTCAAACCGAACCAATAATCTTTTGTTTATACAATCAACGCTCTTCCAGTTTCAAAACTTCACTATATAGTGATTGTCAGTAACTGATGCTATTCACAACAATAACACAAATGAGATGAAAATGTGTGGCTTAAATAATTGGCCCTTGTGTATTATGGCTGTAAGACTACTGGTAAATATATATATATACTGTATATAAACCGGTCTTTCCTTCATTACAAACACAACGAGCACAAACACAGGCCAGATACAAAAACAAAACAAAAGATGAAAAATGCTTCACGTGTGTCAGTAGAGGGAGGCAGAGTATCATTGAAATGCATGTAGTTCATCACAGAATCCACACCAGACTAACATGATTTCTGTTAACTGACATCCGCACTAACATTTTCCCATCTTCAGCAATTCTCTGCACTGTTCCAGTGTTACACTATTTTCTGAAGACACTTTAAAAAGCATAAAAAAGCTGCAGAACATACTATTGTAGTGTTTGAACGCTACGGAAAACAAAATGTTCATCATGTATAAAAAAACTAAGCTTATTATGGTTTGAATATTAATTTGGCCTGTGGTCAATGGGAAAGCTTTAAGATACACATGTAAATGATCTGTTAAAAATTCAATTGTTGGTCAGTTATAGTGACTGTAATAACAAAAAGAAAAGACAAGACTAGAACTAAACACAGGAAGTTTGATCACCAAAAAGTGACTGGAAAAAAGAAAAGGTAATTAATTCCAGCTGAGATTCTAAACTTCATGCTAATTCCTGCTCAAAGGTTTTACAGTATCATTGGTGTTTTCTGATGGCTTCTTCTGTCAAAATGACACACTATCACTATCAACAAAAAAATAACAAACAAAAAAGAGAAATAAATTAAATGTTGACGTGACTTCATTAGAACATCAGAGTAAGACGTGGGTACCAGGATGTTTTCTGTCTCAGTCGTTAGCCACGATGGACAGCGCACGCAACTCGTTCAGTTTGGCCTCGTTCTCTTGCTTTCTCTGTTCATCTGTCAAACCGCCCTGATCAATCTGATCCGTCAGTTCAGTGAAGATCTTGTGCATCTCTGTAAAATAGGCCACCTGACAGAAAACAAAGGGAAAGAAAGGTCGAGTACACACAATTTAAATTTTTTTTTTACCATAAGAATGACAACAGGAGTTTTTCACCTTTCCAATTTGAGTTTTCAGAACGTTAAAATGCGATCCAGTATGCCTCTGAACAACTTCCTGTTTCTTTGTCAATTTACGCCACAACACAAAGCTACTTAGTGAATTATTGTGCATTAGTGGTGTAATTGGTCATTTTTATGTACCTTATCTTCATATAGTCACAGGGAATGATGGGAAAAGTAGTTTTGCAGTTCAATACAGTCTTAAGGTCTTCGCACACTTAGTCCGAAATTCTCGTCCGAAATTTTCGCACATTAAAAAATAAATATGACCTTACACACTTGACTCCGAAACTTCAGTCCGTCATAAAAAAAAAAAAAATAGGAACAGGTTCGATTTTCTGCGTTTTCGCATCCGTTGCAAGCATTTTGATAGGAAACGATGATGAATACAAAAAAAAACAAAACGCATATGAAATTTTCAGACTCAGTTTAGTCTAATCTCTGGCTAATTTAATAGCATTTTCTGGACATCTTAATCACCGTCACATAAAATGTGTACAAACAGATAACATTCACAAATCCAGCTGCATATGATCAATGCCACCTAAAATCTGACACGATTATAATGGACACGCCCCTAAAAGTCAAAGCCACTCCCCTTTATAATGACACACCCGTTGAGCTGGAAAGTCAGACTCAATAAAACCCCCAAGATTCCCTACTGTGATGGTCTTCATCATGTAAATATGCTCACTCTGACAGGACACAGCCCAGTCTAAACTAAAATAGAAAATGACTGCATATCTGAGGCCTTAATTTGTACATGAAATCACTTTATGCTAAATAAAGAACTTGACTTTTTCCAAAGAAGGGATATTCTTCACTCCCGCTCATACAGGAAAATGCTACGGCACAGAGATAACGCTCGTGGGTCTGTGGGTAGCAGGTGACCCCGATCTTCTGCGATCGCTGTGTGAGCGCGCGAGTGTCGGCTGAAAGCTTTCTTGACACGTCCCGCCCCTGCTCTTCCCCCGGCCCGTGAGTCAGGGGTCCCGTGAGAGACGCTTTGATGATTAATAGCCTTTAATCACATTACAAGACTCCAGGAGGAGTGGGCCGCCATTGAAAGCGCTGGGAAATACAGCTGCTCGGCTCTCAAACCTACACACAGCACATTTATTCAAGCTGCTTACTGTATGTGCGCTCGCAAACAAATCCACATCCACTATGGCCTTAAAATCCAGTGAGGAAAAAAAAAAAACATTCTCAGGACAATACGAGTGGTGCAAAACTCATGCTACAGTATGTGGCTGCTAAGGTTTTCAAAGTGGTTTTTAGCTTGTGGTTGCTAGGGTGTTCTGAATGGTTGCTAGGTGGTTTCAAACCCTAATGACTTTCCTTAAACAGACAAAATAAAACAAAAACAAAAAAAAAAAAAAACTACAAAATAGAGGTTTGTTCAAATCACTGACCCTAAATATGAGCATTAATAATAGCAATACATCATTTAGCAATACCAGTATGAATGTTTCTGAAAAGCAGAGCCCGTAAAAGCAAAATCTGAGTGGGAAAAGGTTCGTCTTTTACATGGGGCGATCAAACTGAAAAGCCATTTCCTCTTTGGTCTTGTTAGCTAGAGATACGCAGCAGAGTTTCGATTGATGAACGCAACTCAACTCCATTGTTCACACAGGAGCCATCGGGTTCAGACACCCACGGATTGCAAAGACACTTTTTAAGGTTTTTGTAGGGCAGATGTATAAATGCGGCACCAAACACTGTGATGAAGCACATCTCTTTTGAATAGATTGTGTAAACTGCCTCTGGGATTGCTCGAAATGACTTCAGACTCTAATCAAAGACTCCACGCTGGCCGTCAGTGGCACTCTGTGATCTATGAGAGGCCAGTTCCTGCCCAGTGCTGAATGGAAGCGGATACTGGTCTGTCCTGTTTATGGTGGTCTCACCACATGAAGAGCGGAGAGGGGATCTGTTTGCCGTGCAGCACGTGGGGCTGGAAGGAAAACTAGTTCAGAGGAAAATCCGCCTTGGACCTGTCAGGGATCAATCAAAACAACCAATGAATGATGCTGCCACACACAAGCTAAAATGCAGGTACGGCACCGTATTTATGACTCTGCTTCAGGCGGCATGCCCACGGACCGTTCATGAGCTGTATGATACATGTTGCACAGACAGGAGCTTTCTCGAAACAGCAAGCTCCAATTTGATTGGTTGGTTATGACGCAGCTTTTGGTAGTCAAGGCACACGGTCTGTAGAAACTACTTTCAAAAGATTCAAGTTGGCGTAGTTCATGACATCACAGGTTTCAGTAGCTTAAGGCAGTTAGTAGCAAGAAAACGTGGCATCCTCAATAACTGCCCAATCCTGCTTTCATTCAGAGTTAAGTCCATTAAACAATCTGTACTTATTACTTTCAGATGGAAGGATATTCTGACCGCAAAGTCAACACACATTTCCAATCATTCCTTTGCTGCTGTCTGTTTAACTATTTGCGGAGACAGCTGCGCCATGATTCGAACGAGATACCACACCAATCTATTATTGTGGTTTCACCGATTTTAGATTTATCGCTCTTTAAAAATCGCACACAGAAAAAAACAAAATCAACTGTGGTCATAGTTGAACACATCATCCAGACAGATCCTTCCTGTTTAAGCGGGTGATTCTTGACCAGAAAAAGCTTCAAAGGGAATTAGTATTTATGCTTCTGTCACACACACATTCATATATTCTAAACACATGGCTAATTAACTCATTAAACATGCTCGTCAGTGAACAACGGCTCTGTGTAGTTAATGCTGCTCAATGTGAAAGAGCTCCGCAGGTGACGGAGATTTACCGCTGATTACAGAACCGTCTTTACTGACAAGATGCGCATTAAATATCGCATGCGATTTATCGTGCAGCCCTAATATACACACATACAAATTGTAACACAGAGTCTACACTGTAAGCCACAGATGTCCAAAACTGAGTCTGTCTACACATTTAGCATCACGTCACCTCAGAATACTCAACCACAGACCAATAAGCTGTAAACAAAAGGCTACCTGTTAAGCGACAATAAAGTGAAAGCTAAATTTGGTAAAAATATGTCAGCTTTGTAATGGAAATCCATTTGGAACAATTATTGAATTTGTAAAACTGTCCATTCATCCATTCCCCACACCACTTGTCCTCTATAGGCCGAGGACGGGAAATACTCCCTGGATGGATGGCCAGTCCATTGCATGGCTAAAGCTAAAGTACAGCTAAAGTCTAGGACAACAGCACATGTGTGAGTAATTTGGGTGCTCGAAAACAAAAGGTCTAATAGGTAGTGTGAATGCACAGAACGAGTCCATCAGTGCTCATGGTCAATAGAGAATACTCTGCTGGAGATGTAGCAGAACACGGAAAATGAAGTATTGCCAGGCCTTAACAAACACAGACTTACACGCATTCATATTCACACCTACTGACAATTTAGTGGTTCCAATTCAGCTGACTTGCATGTCTTTGGATTATGTGGGAAACTGAAGGAAGCTGGGACTTGAACCTGGCACATTCTTGCTGTGAGGTGGCAGTGCTACCCACTGAGGCACTGCACCCCTTGTAAAGTTGTTTATATTGTAAAATTACTTATTAGTATCCCAACAATCAATGGAACTGCTGGATTAGGTCTCAAGCTGTTCTTCAGCATTGTTGAATTTAATGCACCATCTTTAGAGCACAAAGTATTTCTTTTCATTCTCTTCATTCCAGCACTCTGTCTAGCTCAGGTGTTTCCAACCCTGCTCCTGGAGAACTGAACTTCCTTCTTGTAGGCTTCAGTTCCAACCCTGCTTCATCACACTTGCCTGTAATTTTCAAGTAATCTTGAACACCTTGATTAGCTGGTTCAAGAGTGTTTGATTAGAGTTGGAAGTAAACTCTCCAGGATGGTATCCATCCAGGAACAGGGATGGCTACTCCTGGTCCAGCAGTTCCTGAATGCCAGAAAGTGTCCTATGTAAATGTCTAGCAGGGTGACAATGTAATGATCTGTGTCATTCACTTTGAGTACATCTCCGTGGGGAGCCAGCTTTTGCTCAATGCACCCAGTGTAGACAATGCATGTATTTTTGAACAGGTTTAGACCATTTCACGGCACTGAAACTACGCTTATTATAGTAACAAATCACTTGCTCTTACGCGATTGTGGTTGCAACTCTCCTATTAGTGTTACTGGACCTTAGTGCTGCCTTTGATACTATCGACCACATCATTCTCTTGGACAGGCTCAAAAATTATGTTGGAATTACTGTGATTGCATTGGCATGGTTCAATTTGTACTTATCTGACCATTATCAATTTGTAGCAGTAAATGAAGAGGTATCATATCAATCAATTCAGTATGGAGTACCGCAAAGCTAAGTACTAGGGCCGCCATTGGTTTTCACCCTGTACTGAAGATGAGGTTTGTGAATATATTTTGTATGCGTCCAAAGATTTCCCACTCCTGAGAAGTCAAGACTCAAAGCAGTGGCTTCTAGGAAACAAGTCTACATGTGTAAATTTGGCTCATTCCGAGGCCATCCAGGATGTTTGTGCATGCATTTTTCTTTAGGCCAAATTTCTATTTGTCCTCATCCCCTGATATAAGGCTGTGTGTATGTGTGCGAATGACTCAGCAGGATGAGGGACTCTCAGCATGACTGAATATTCGGTGAGTCAAACTGTGTCCACTCCAGGACTACTGGAAACACAAACACACACTGTCTAATATGACGTCCATCAGATACAGAGGGAGGCAGCGTCTCCACACCGCACCTATAGTAAGCAGTCTGGGGAGCCCACCTACGCCTTCTATCTGACAGAGAGACACCCTGCTCTACCTCATCACAGACAGCTGATGTTGGTTGACTCTCTTGGAGTATGTGGGTGTTGGAGGTATGGCACTCCGGGTTACTGAAAGCGCTTGATGAATGAGACTCGGTCATCTGCTAGGCCTCTCTCTTGCTCTATCTCTCTGCTGCCCATCTGTTAGCTGAGAGCTCGAGGAAAGACTGCATTTCAGGCCTGATCTATGATCAGCTTAATGCATTCATGTGTTCATTTATTTATAACCTTCATTTTTTTCCACAGAGCACCCACATCTGGTTTTCAATAGAGCAAATGACAAAAGCGTAGCATCACAAAGTGTTGCTACACAAAAACAATCACAAAAGACTGTTGTCTCCATAAAGTTTGCAATGGTTTTAGCTAAAGGAAGTTTGATGTTGTTCCATCCATGACATTTACAAGCTGAATTCAACTGCTGTTTACTAGTCCATACTAGTAGACCAGAAGACAAAATCAACTACTAGATGACTCCAGTTATACAAATGTACATCCTGTTATCAAATAGATAGTTCCAGTTCTGGATGCTGATTGGTCAATACAGCGCTCTATTCTTTCTAAAATACATGTAAAAGTGACGATGTACAGTCCGACGGTAATCTTTGTAAAAATAACCGACTGGTTCATCAGCCACGTTTTTAGCATTACCTAAAGGTGAAAATATTATCATAGTTTTTTTTCCCCTCGCAGTGATGCCATTAAAGAAATATTTTTGGTTCCTTTCAGTGAACAGTTCTTAAAAGAACTATTTTTCTTAGCGTGAACAACACTTCATAATCTAAATAAACTTTTTCCACTATAAAGAACGTGTTAATGAAGGGTTCCATTAATGTTAAAGGTTCTTGATGGAACCATGACAATAAAGAACCTTTATTTTTAAGATTGTCGGGATGGAATTGAGATGCAATGAAGGCCAGATTCAAACATGCATGCCCTACACGAGCAGTACAAGCTACCAAGCGACTTGTAGGCTCACTGTGTGTATGACGGCATTGTTTGTCATCATGAAGGCTGTTTCCCGTTTGGTTAATCCTTCTCAGGCTAATCAGATAACATAAAATCAAACCTATTAACACTTGACGCATTCACATAAAGAATCATCTCCTAAATTAGGTAAACACATAAAATGAGCAAAGAAAAATCTTAACACTTCATTTAAACTTTCTAGAAAGTAATGAATACTACGTGGGTAAATCTCAAAACCAGTCAAAAACATTTCAGATGTAAAATATTCTCATTTTGATTACTGTAATATAGCAACATTTTTAAAAGTTTGTATAAATGTAGTTATTATTCTTCATTCTAATCACATTTTAAATAATTGTCATACAATTTACTATGTAATTCATCTGTTATACCAGATCTATAACAACAGTGCATGTTCAAGTAGACAGTTAGGAGAGGCTTTCTCTCAAGATGGCATTTTTTGGGATCATAGGGCACTGGATCAGGTCCTGACAGACTCAGACCTGACAGATCTCGACTGCCCGCTCTGCCCTGAGCCGTGAAGATTATGGCTTTTAAATATGTGATTAACCCACCAAGAAAAGGCCTGCTTGGACTATTCAGCTTTAACACCAGCTCACAGTTAAGTCAGTGTTGTAAAACACTGTGTAAAATAGGTTAAATCCACCGTACTTACAGGATACTTTTGACTCAAGAGGCAGATGACAGCAGAGGTGATCCATTAGTTTAAAATGTACTATTGTTTATGCTTCTTACTGCAACTATATTAACGTTTAAGTCCATGTGTACTGATATCATATGTGATGTCTGACTAGACTGCATTATCTCCACTTATACACACACAGGTGCACCAAAAAGCATTTGGACACCTGTAAGAATATGAATTTATTATTATCCATCAAGCCAGGAACAAAAAACAAAACAAAACAAAGTCTGTACAGACACGCATGCAAAATAACATCATGACATGGGAATAATATTAACATCTTAACACTGTGAAAATGTCAGCCAGGGGGTAAATGCACACGTCCTGAAGACGAGATTGTGTGTGTTGACTTGGCTTCTCCTCTTTTACTACATTCATTAGATTCTAGTGTTTAGCTCTCTCACACACACACACACTCTCCTAAAAATAACACACAGTCTGAGCTGTGGACATAAGCAGGCAGGATTGTGGGGGTTAATCACATTAGAGAGAGGGGAAGTGTGTAGAGTGAGACAGTGTGTGAGCGCAGCATAAAGGAGTGTTTTTGTGTGTGTGTGTGTGTGTGTGTTACTCAGGGTTAATCACATTAGATCTGGGTGGAGGGAGCGTAAGCTTTAAAATGTACTACTGTGCGTGTGTGAGGGTGTTTCTTCAAACTTGATTTTTATTGATTTAGATTTTTGGCTTTTATTTCTTATTAAAAACAACACATTTTTTAAATTCAACCTTTTGTTAAAGGACTATCATATAACATTTTACCATGACAACTTTAAAACAGTCTTTTATGCATATATTTTGTTAATCCCTTGTCTCAGACTTTTGTCAAACCAGCCATAAATATTTAATTACAGCCACAACACTGAATTTGGTATTATTTCCTTATTTTTATACATATTCATGTAAAATACGTAAAATATTTTTGTTTGTGTAGATTCATAACTACATCATCCAGGTGTTAAAACGTTCAAAAAATTACATTTTTATTGAAATCACTGGACTATAAAATAATCAACAAGACGTTTCGGTGTCTATCCAAACACCTTCATCAGTTGTAAAAACAGGAAAGTACTCGTGCAAATATCCACAATATGTCACATGATCAACAGACCTATAGAGGTAATGTGACTACTATTTTTGTGGAATTGTTTTTTTTATATATATTTTTGTCCCAATATACATAATTTGCACAGTACACTTGATCAGCATCATATATTGTACAGTGAGACGTTATAGCATTTCTCTTACTTCATTCTAAATCGTCTATTGTCATACTTGATCTCCTACTTGTATTATATAAAAAAAACGTTTAAAAGGCTACCAGCCAGCTCACCAGTTAGTCATCATTTGAAAGTTTGCAAGTATTAATTTTATCCTCTACTTTTGTATTTTTCCCCCTCAATTTAATTCCACCTATAATGGGAAAACACATCATGATTTAGATTTATATGATCAGCTTCCAACTTTTCTGGCTGATTTTCTACTGTGTCAGTAGTTGCTACTGATTTTGCTACTGTGTACTGTTTACATATAATATAATATACAGTGGTGGCCAAAATTATTAGAACACTAGTATTTTCACCAGCTAAAAATGGTTTTAAGTCAGTTATTTCTATCTTTTGCTGTAGTATGTCAGTAGGAAATATCAGTTTATATTTCCAAACATTCATTTTGCCATTAATTGTAATAATCCAGTGAGATTTTTGTCTGACAGCAGCCAGTGCTCCACACAGAGATCTGATCTGATCATACTTGTCGCATCAGACGAAAAAGACTTGAGACTGTAAAGGTGCTTCAGCTAAATATTTAGTTAAGGGTATGTAATAATAGATAATATAGATGTACAATGTAATTAACTTCTATTAACTAAATTAAATCAACATTTGGTGTGAGCATCCTTTGCGTTTAAAGCAGTTTTTGCCCTCGGTGCACTCGAGCAGAGTTTTTCAGGTAGCTTTGCAGGTAGGTCTCTTGAAGCATCTTGGAGACGTTGCCACAGTTCTTCTGGATTGAGTCT